GGTCCTGCCCTCCAGAGTCCTCCCAGCGCCACTCATGTCTTAGGCGGATCTAGAGTCTCCCCTGAATGCCCTCACAGTTTGTGAGCACTGATACTCGCGGATGTGTTTGTTTCTCTCAGGGAGCAGTTTTGCAAGGCTTGCCCCACTCATGAGAGCAGGCCGGTAGCTCCTGCTTATCCATCACCTGTTCATTTCCCTACATGGGTCAGAACCCCAGATTCTCGGTGGAGAGGAAACCATACACCTACCTCCAGTGGACACGATTCTGGTCAAAGCCTGGCAGCGGGAAGGGTTTGGTCACTGACTCTGGCTTCACCTGGCGGCCCCCTCCCTGCCGGTCCCCGGCCCTGCACTAGGTGCTCTCTGTCTCTGCCACATTCACTCTGCACAACAGCCCCCAGAGGGAGGCAGGGACAGTCCCTTCCTACACACGAAGAGGCTGACTTGGGTCAATTAAGGAATGAGCCCCAAGTCACAAAGCCAACCAGTGGTGAAGTTGGGCTTGAACTCAGGCTGGAGAGCTCCAGACTTGTCGCTTCACTGCCTTCAGCAGCCTGCACCCCATCCTTAAGGAGCCCGGACTAGTATCAGCGATGTGAGCCAGAGTACATGGAGGGGCTTCACGCAGGAAGAAGGTCCAACTCTTCCTCTTTGGCCACTGCCCCCAGCATTCGGATCTAGTGTTCCAGCCGGTTTACCCACCAGTACTCACCAGTATCACCATAATCCCAGGCCCTGAGTTCCATAGCACAGCCTGCCCCATTCATCCTTACAACCAACTCCTACCCAGCCTTCAAAACCCAGCCGGAATTGGCGTGAGCACTGTCCTCACTGATCCCTGGGCCCCGGCACATGGGCCTCGGAGAACAGTGTGACTCATTCTCTATGTGGCCTGGCCTCCACGGACCACTCTGTTTCTCTTGTAATTCATTTACTAATGCAAAGTGTAAGGCATTGCTAGTTTCAGAGAAAAATTATTAATCAATATGAGAAATGTTGCTGCTGTTATCCAGAGGCACACACCTTGAGAACACGAAAAAGGGGTTCCCATGGGAAGCCCTGCAAAAGCCCAGAAGCTCCCCAGTGCCAGGAGCGAGTCTTGCTTTGTGTTAGATCCCCTGCTCCTGGCGCAGGGCTTGGTGCCACACAGGCCTTCAGTCACTGCGTCTGCATGACTGAGCGAGGCTGCTTGGACAGGCCCGGAAAAGACATGGAGACAGGGGCTGAGCCCTGAAACCCACCCCATCCATGGGGCAGAGTGTCGGCTGAGATGTGGGGGCTGCCTTAGGTCCCCAGTGTGCAGGAGGCTGCGGAGGCCACAGCCTGGGGAAGCTTGCACATGACCTTCCGCAACCCTCCTACCTGTGAGGGAGGGTGCCCGTGCCCCACACCTGTCTGTGCTGCAGATTGATGCCCTTCATCACCAGCTGGGCCAGGGGGCCATTTCCAGGACAAAGCCAAGAGCTGGTCCCCACTGCCACCCCTCCTGGGCCGGGCTGCTAGGGCACAGCACCCAGGATGCCTTGTCCCCAGGGAGCAGAGCAGTGATCCACCAACATTCCTGCGCGAACAGCCACTCCCTGAGTAGGTGGGAGGAGCAAACATGCCTGGAAGAGAGGGTCCTGAACTCACTGCTCACGTGAGGCAGTTGGGTGCATGGTCAGAGCGTCAGTTACCCTGCCTGGGCCTTGGTCTCCATCCCCCCTCAGCCCTGACACCCTCCTCTGAACAGACCCATAACCTCGGGATCCGAGTAGGCTACACCATGGAGAGCTTCATATGGGACTTGCCCAAATACCAGGTGTTTTACCTCTTTCATTGTATAAACCTCACGGACTAGTACAGTTATCTCTGTTTTATAGATGAGGAAGCAGTCCTGGTAAGATTTAGCCATAGAAATTACAAGGAGTCTTAAAGAAAAAGATTAGTGAATAGAAGGTCATCATTGTGGCATGAAGGAGGAAGAGGAAAAGTCCTAGAAGAATCAGGGCCTTTCAACCACATTCCCAATCCTATTCCTTCCACTACCAGAGAGAGCCCAGGGGTCTGGCAGTCAGTCTGCGGTGCAGGGAGAGGGCCAGCTGGGGAGACATCGCAGCCCCTCTCCGCTCTTCCAGGACCCAAGTGCCCACCGGCCACCTACCCTGGTCAGCCTCACCTTCATGCGGGATGCATAGAACTCTACTATGTCTTTCTGCTTCTGCCTGAGGCCCATCGCCTCCATCTCCAGCCTCTCCACGCGGCTCGCCTTCTCCCTCAGGGAGTCCAGCTCAGGGACCGGGGCACAGGAAGCCTGGGCTCTGGCTGCCAGCTCCATATTCTGGGAGGTGGGCAAAGGCAGGGGACCTGGCTCAGGGAAAGGCCCAAGTCCCTGCAGGCCCAGGAGAAGCCAGGAGCGGCCAAGCTGGTCCATGTGCAGGCCCCTGTGTGTGGGCCCCACATGCTGTCACTGAAGCACATCATCCCCCAGCAGCTCCCAGGACAGCTGGCTCTCGGGCACCGCCACTTTGAGCGGGAAGGAGAGGTGTCCCAGGTCACATTCCTGGACCTGGGGCTCCGGTGACTGGTGCGTCCTAGCCCCCCACCCCCGGCCCACACGATAGGCCTCCTGCTCACATTGTGCCGGGCCTCCTGCAGCTCCAGCACCAGCTGGTACAACTGATTCCTGGTGTCTGCCAGTTGCTTTGTCTTCTCCTCCCTGGGGGCGATGAGAACACGTGGTGAGGGTTCCTCAGAAGCACCTGGAAAGCCCACCACCTGGAGACCAAAGTGGGGAAGGAGGGGGTCCTGGCTTCTAGGCGTGAGGAGGGCATCTACACGTGGGGCTGCAAAAACGCTCTGGAGTCCAAGGTGAGCTTTACGTTGTCACTGCTGCTCTCAGACTTCAGCACAGACCTGAGCTTTCCTCTGAGGGTGCAGACATGGAAGGAGCCCCCAGAGCCACTGCTCCCTCCACAGCCAGGCAGGCATGGAGACCCCCTGGCAGGGAGGTGAAGGCTGGCAGCTTCCCAGATACCGGGCATGGTGCCATCACCAGCTGCACGAAAGGGGCAACAGGCCCACCAGACGGGACGGGAGAGACACATCCTCCCTCCAGCCAAGAGCACCCACACTAGGCCCGAGGCTGAGCGGCAGGCTGCTGCTCTGAGTCTGCCATGTCTGGACTGGCAGGAGCCCTAAAGGTCCAGCAGAACCCTGCTGTGCAGGTCCGGGGAGGGAAGAGTGTGGGCTAGCCCAGGGCCCAACAGGGACCCAGCTCAAAGCAAAGCCCCGTCACTCCAGGGCACTGTGAGAGCTGCCCCGTTTGCTGCACTGCATGGCAGTGAACCACATGTGCGAGCAATGGGTGGTGACACACAGCACAAGAGCAGAAAGACCGGGGTCACTGGGGAACTCACAGCTCCTGCCTGACACCACGCAGGGTGGCCTTGGTGTCCACCAGCTCCATGGCCAGGTGCTGCGTGTCCTCGCTGGGGCGGCTGCTGGTGTTCCACTCCTGGGTCATGGTCACAAACAGCTACAGCAGGGCAGACAGAGGGGTCTCACCGGCGTGCTCCTGTGCCCGGCACAGTGCCCGCACTAGAAAGTGGTGAAGAATGACTAAAAGATGGAAGAAAGTAAAAGAGAAGATGGCAGCCGAGACTGCAAAGCCAGGAGGGAGGCAGGAGAAAGTGGGGGAGTTTTTAAGAAGCGAGAATATATTTAGTGAAACAGAAGGGCCGAGTGAATGGAGCAGGCCCCCCAAGCTCAACCTCTGTCCTCACACAGGTGTCTCAGGGGACTGTGCCCTGCAGGGAAAGTGCCCACATCCTGCCCCCGTGGAAATGGGCCAGGAGGACAGACAATGTGCAGCTTGAGAGGAAGTCAGGATGAGGAGCGTGGCCATAACTAGGCCCCAGACCAAGGCCCCTCCCCACCGTCCCCCAGGCTGTTGGGCCACCCACAAACACACCTCCCTGCAATGGTCTTGCTCAATTAAGACCCTCCTGAGGCGACAGGTCATGCTGCTAGAGAGGTACTCCACCTCCCCCAGGGCCATGTCTGGGACCTCCAACCACTGCAGGTCCAACAGGCTCTCCTGGTGGCGGGTCACCTGAGGGCACACAAGGGTAAGGTGCTGCGGAGGCCGGGCAGGGAGCAGCGGAGGGTCCCTGAGAGCACCCACTTCCCAAGGCCACGCCCCCTGGGACCTAGGCCCACTCTCCCACAGCTGACCCACCTCACTGACATTATTAACCCGCAGCCACCAAGTTCCTGTGGGGGGCGGGCAGGCTCCTCAGCAAGTGCAGCCACACTCTGCAGCGGAGCCCTTTCCTCACACACCACTGCTGCTGTCACACTAGCTCAAGGAGGACACTGACTTCCCACCAGACAGCACTCCACCCAGTGTGGGAGCTCCCTCAACTGTCCCAGGGATTCCAGTCGCGTCCATCCATGTGTCACACAAAGAGGGTAAGCCTTGGGAGGGGAGGGTCAGGAGGGATAGCATCTTATTCTTCAAATAAAATCTAACGTGAAGATGTCAAAATATTAGAGCGCTTATGTCAGAAGGTTGAGAAACATGACAATCTTATTTTTTGAGGAAACATTTCATAACCTGAAATACTTCTCAGGTGAGCCTGGATCTCATCCCCACAGGCCACACAGGACCACCTGGTTCCCCCTTTCTGCGGGTGTGAGCGCAGGCCCACGGCCTCATCCTCACTGGGCAGCCTCTCCTCCAACTGCCGACATCACCTCCTTCAACCCAGGGACATGCCCTTGATGGGGAATCAAACCTGCGACCCTTTGGTGGGCAGTCCAACACTCTAACCACTGAGTCAAACCATCTAGAGCCTGGACCCACAGCCTAGCCCCCTGGCAGGAGCAGGTGAACTCATCTCAGTCCAGGGCTGGAAGCGCCAGGGGGTCCTGCACCTGGTGCATGGGCTCCAGAGTAGGAAACCCCTCAGGCCTCCAGGCCAGGACCCCTGCCCCAGTTTGAAAACCTGTGAAGACCCCTGAGTCCCAGGACTGCCAGGGCCCAGGCGGGTGGGGTCTGTGGAGACCCCAGGGTGGCGGGAGAGGAGCCAGGGCACCCGCAATGGGACAGGGAGGCAGGTGTACTCACCCCTGCCACCAACGGGCTCTGCAGAAAGAGCTCCATGAGCTCTCGGACAGTAACGTCCATCCTGAGGCTGTGTCCACCGTCCATCGCTATGCACACAGGCTCTGGGCCCACCGTCTCTGTGCCCACCAGCTCTGTGCCAAGCAGTGCCAACGGCTACTTGCCCCACATTCCAAATGGCTCCTCACCCCACATTCTAAACTGCTATTTGCACCACATTCTAAACTGCTATTTGCTCCACATTCGAAAAAGGCTCTTTGCCCCAAATTCTAAACGGCTCTTGAGCCTGTATTCCTAACTGCTCTGGGCCCCGTATTCCAAAGGGCTCTAGCAGGGAACACAGCTGTGTCAGGGGCTGTGGCAGCTCCCTGTCAATGCTAAGTGCTTTGGAATACACAAAAATGATGACACACTCCCTATGAAATTTAAAATCTTTCTGGGCACATGAAATATGAGGAAATATAAAAGGTCTATGTCTACATCCTATGTACTTATAAATGTAAATTAACCACTTCAACATAATTTTGCCAATCTCCATTTTTAATTATTTTTTCCACCAGCCAAATTGCAGAAATTTGATCAGTTCCTTTGAAGTAACCATTCATTTTATTTTGTTAAGTCTGACCTAGTAGCTCAGCTTGGGAGTTCTCTTGACCATCACAGTAAACGGAGACCCTCCAGTTAGTAGTTCATACATTACAACACCTAAACCCACCAGTCAGCTGCCTACAAAAGGATTTGATAGAATATTAACTAGTAAGTCGTTTAGAGGAAAGAAAAATGAACAAAATAAAGCTGCATATTTGGGAAATATTTGAACAAAAAGAGCCTGTGCATAGCTTTCTGTGCAAGGAGCATTAAACCAGCACATGCAAGAAAGACATTTAGAGAACAGATATGCAGGTATGTCAGAACAAATTTAAACACCTAGGCTGTCAATCAATGAACTAAAAGTGTTTAATTATTTTCTAAACTAGTAATGGTTTTATTTTGGTTAACTAAAAAATTTATTTTGATTTAAAATAAATTTAATTTTTTTAAGTAAATGAAATCTTTGGACTTATGATAGAGGGGGGACAAAGTACCAATCAGCATTTTTAGTGACTATCCAGCTCCAATAAATATTACAAATTCCTTAAAGTCCACGCACGCTCGATGCTGCACAAGCCCACCTACAGGTGTTATTTTTTCATAAAGCACCTAAATCAATTCCTCTTATAGAACCTCCCAAAAATCTAATAGCCTTCATTTGTGGGAAGCATGATGAGATTTAAAATAATGCAAAACAAAATGTGATCTAAATGGGAAACAAATTTATAAATGTAGTTACCTGAACTGAGAACACAGCAAATTACACATACCTTAGAGATTCTTGATATATGGAAAATTACTTCCATTATGATTATGCAAATCAGGATTTGAATAATGGTTGCCAATATGAGCTTATGCCAATGAGATATTAACTGGATGCTAAAATTTTAAACTCTCTGCTTCCAAATTTCAGGGCCAAGGTTTCAGAGAAATGCAGCAAAATTTATGGGACTAGAACTGTTTTAAAGAAAACACATAACAGTGACATAGAAAACAGGGTCAGGCAGACTGAAACCACAAGAGTGCGTGCAAGCCAGGCACAGTGATGAGCACATTGCACACATTATCGCTCATTCAATCAACTCAAAGGCCTCAAGGTGTCCCATCTACTCTCAATGACTTAGCTGAACTTTGGACCTCAGGGATGCAGAAATTCTAGGAGGAATATAAGGTTTTCTTTCCTGAAACCCGGTTCCATGCCCTGGCTGCTGTGGCTCAATGTTGGCTGGAGCATCATTCCATACACTGAAAGGTTGTGGGTCCAGGCCATATACTTAGGTTGTGGGTTCAATCCCCAGTCAGGCTGAATATGGGAGGCAACCAATCAATGTTTCTCTCTTACCTAAATGATTCATTCTCATTCTCTCTCTCTCTCTCTCTCTCTCTCTCTCTCTCTCTCTCAATCTCTGTCTCTCTATCTCCCCCCGCCCCTCTCTAAAATCAGGTTAGGATGAAAAGAAAATTGGTTCTATTAGATCTTAGAAAACTTAGAAAGTAATTTTCAAATTTTAATAGTTATAAATTCCTACCAAAATTCCCAATAGTTTCAGAGAATACCTTGACTCAAACTAAACCAACAATTCAATTATTTTATTTATACAAGCAGTTTTACTGCCATCTGAGTCAGACTCTCAGAATGTTCTGCTATTGGATTGGAAATCAATAGATAGAGCTCTACAATCAGATTCCTAGTTGTGAAAAGTTGAATAATAGTCTTTAAACATATGATGAGTCATTAGCAAACATCTCTACACTTAAGATATGTGGACTGTACATGTGGGATTTTGCAAGGGAATGAGGAAGAGGGGAAGGTGAGAAACAAAAAATAGTCAGAATCCCTTACTTGGAGAAAGTTATTAATAAAGCAAAAGTGTTCACAACTGGACAGCCCTAACCGGTTTGGCTTAGTGGATAAAAAGTCAGCCTGCAGAATGAAGGATCCTTCCTGGGTTCGATTCCAGTCAAGTGCATGTACCTTGGATGCAGGCTCGATCCCCTGTAGGGGACGTGCAGGAGGCAGCTGGTTGATGTTTCTCTCTCATCGATGTTTCTAACTCTCTGTCCCTTTCCCTTCCTCTTTGTAATATCCATAAAAAATATATATTTTAAAAAAGATAAAGAACTGGACAGGTGTGTACCCTTTCATTCATGAAATAAAAATATGTGACCTAGATTTTATAACATAATTACTTAGAAAGCCTCTTCCCAGCCTTCATTTTGCAAATACAAAGAAAGTGGGAAGGAAAAAATTGAGCTCTTTAGAGCAGTGGTCGCCAACCTTTCGGACCTCACGGACCACCAATGGTCTGCGGGCCACCGGTTGGCGACTGCTGCTTTAGAGGGCTTAGGAAAACAGAGACTATCTTGGATTTTCTTTCTCCAAGGAGTGTTACAATGATTATTTCTGTGGGAGAGATAATCAACAAAGTCTCCAGTATGTCTACAAAGTTAAAAGCACAATTGGAAATAAAAAATAGGAAAGATTCCCTTTTCAATGCTCTCTTAGAAAGCATATATCAACCTAAGGTGACACAGCCAACTATATATCCCATGTATTTTTCTAACAAATATCAATAATGCCAGCGCTGTCCAAAATCATCAAGCGCGACTCACACAGGAGCAGTGGACAGTCTGCGCATTCAGTGACACCTCTGCACTGTGCTGTGGCTCAGCTGATTCCTAAAACAGCAGGTCCCATGCAACAGAAAATGAATGATTTTGGTTTTATATAGAGTTACCACTGGTGCTTTGCTCAAGATACAAATCCTTTTCATGCAAATTACGTAAAAATTATTATATGAAGAATTAGTTGCTTTTGAAGTTCCCTTTAACAAAGAGTTACTCTATAAAACAATAGATGATCCTCAGCAGTAAACCTTGAAAAAAGGGAAATCCAGAATGTCCTAACCTTTCTATTATCTTTTCCCTCCACAACCCTAGATACCATAATGTGTTCATGTATACAAAGCAAAGGAGAGAAAAAGTAAAGATAAGGCAACACCAGAAAGAGGACTCTGTTGGAAACTCTACCTAAGTTATTAGCTAGGATTCTTATTATACAGTTTATAGTGATATATAAAGATGTGTCAAAAATAGAACATACCTTGTCATGTCTTGAATCTCCCCCTCTGACAGTATCTGGTGCCACGTGTTCAATAGTGCCACAGAACAAACACAACAAATCGAGGAGGTATGACAGGCGACAGTTTTTGGTGGGAGGCAGGAAATTTTGTAGGTCATATTTTACGAACTGCTAGAGGCCTGAGCCGAGCCTGCACCCTCTCGCAGTCTGGGGCTCCCTGTGGGCAGTCGGACATCCTTAGCTCTGCTGCAAAGGCAGGCTCCTGCCACTGCCACTGCCCCTGCACTCGCCAGCTATGAGCCCAGCTTCTGGCTGAGCTGCTCCCCCTGTGGGAGCCCACTGACCACCAGAGGGCAGCTCCTGCGTTGAGCATTTGCCCCCTGGTGGTCAGTGCGTGTCACAGTGTCATAGCTTGATCTTTCTGCCATTAGGTTGATTTGCATATTAGCCTTTTATTAGATAGGATGATATAAAAAGGCTAGGATAACATAGGTAAATTCTATTGTGATTACGGTTTATTGTAGCACCTAAAAAGAAATAAATGAAACACAGACCATATTTTATTTTTACTTATATATGTATATATCATAATTAAGTAGTTTTAATATATTTATTAGCATCGACCTATGACACCAGGAGGTCACAGTTTGATTACAATCAGGGCACATCTAAATATCCTTTTTTTTAGGAAAATATTTATTGCTGAGAGCATTACAGATGCCCCCCTTTGCCCTCCAGGGCCCCCATCTACCCAGATCCCACCCCACTCCAGGCATTCACCACCCTATTGTCTGTGTCCATAGGTAATGCATATATGCATATAAGATTTTCCTTAATATCTTCCCATACCCCTCTCACTCCTTTCCTCTGAGATTTGTCAGTCTGTTCTGTTTCCATGCCTCTGATTCTATTTTATTCATCAGTTTATTTTGTTCATTAGATTTCTTGTTCATTTATTTTGATTTTTAAATTCAGTTGCTGATAGATATGTATTTATTGCCATTTTGTTGTTCATATTTTTTTATCTTTTTTCCTTCTGCCTCTTCTTCTTAAAGAATACCCTTCAACATTTCATGTAATGCTGGCTTGGTGGAGATAAACTCCTTTAGCTTTTTCTTGTCTGTGCAGCTCTTTATCTGACGTTCAATTCTCAATGATAGCTTTGCTGGGTAGAGTAGTCTTGGTTATAGGTTCTTGCTATTCATCACTTTCATTATTTCTTGCTACTCTCTTCTGGCCTGCAAAGTTTCTGTTGAGAATTCAGCTGACAGTCATAGGAGTGCTCCCTTGTAGGTAACTAATTGCTTTTCTCTTGCTTTTTCTTTAACGCTTGGCATTTTAGTTATGATGTGGACCTCTTTGGATTCATCTTGTTTGGGACTTACTGTGTTTCCTGAACTTGTAAGACTCTTTC